GAGAGAGAGAGAGAGAGAGAGAGAGAATGTGTGTGTGTGTGTGTGTGAGAGAGCGTTCACGCGCACATGATCGTATGTATAATTGAAGTAAACACATTATCGCTAAAGCTTTTAATCTAGCGTGCAACTTGTTAGCTCAAGTCGGGCCTCGGCCCGATAAATACCCGCTACGGTAAATTTTAATGACCGCGTTAAAATATTATGGGCTTTTACGCATTAGAACGACAAACACACGCGCGTTCCATCTCGCTGCAGGATCGTGCGAGCGCACAGTTTGCCGACATTACAAATTGTGCGTGCGGACCCGAGCCATCCGGTCAATGTTTGTCAATCCGAAACCCAATATTCCGTTCACGGCCCGGGAAAGTAATTTGTCATCGGACGGCGCGCGGCTTAGAGTCGCCCTTACGCGGCGACGCGACGCGACGCGCCGAAACGGTAGCCGTCTTCTCGCCGCTCCGAACGCAACGCAGTCAAGTCCCCAGCTCGTCGGTACCAGCACTTCTCTTCTGCATCTTTCTCTTTCTATGCGATATTGATATACCGCGATATTACATCCGTCATCAGCGACGACGACTTCAATTTCGACGATCAAACGACGCGACTTTCTTTCCTCCACTTCGGGAGCGCTCTAAGGCCCGTATCAATAGTCGTTGCTTGAAATCTTGCCTCATGTGAGATACCCAGAATTGAGTTTGAGTTAGATGTGAACATTTTGGATGAATCGTGATTGGAAATGTAATGTATTGTGTGATTCAAGGAAAAAACTCAAGTGAAACCTTAAATTTACATTCTGATTATTTCACGTGGAACAAGTTTCAAGTAAGGACTATTAATACAAGCTTAATTTTCTAGAGCTCTGGGCTCGATCGTTGAGGAAATTCAATTGAATGTGCGAGAAAAACGCAAATTCGATCTCGACATTTGGATTTCATGAGTTAAGAGAATTTGAAGTTAATTTGGATGTGAAATTAATTTAGACTTAGGATTCACTTAAGGAGAAGCGTGTTGTTGAGAATGTAATTTTAGAACTGAATTTCTAATCCGACAATGAATAAAAGACAGACAGAGAGAGAGAGAGAGAGAGAGAGAGAGAGAGAGAGAGAGAGAGAGAGAGAGAGAGAGAGA